CAGACTGTCGATCAAAAATTTACCGACCTTAGAAAAGTTGTTTATTTGAAGTCGACTCTGGTTAACTGCTGCCAGCAGTATTTAAGAAAGGCTCCAAGAAACAAATGTCTCTTAACAAAGGTCCATCTTGATAACTTAAGGGAACTTCGCAGAAATGAAAACATGCTGACCAGAATAGACGATGGGTCCGGAATATTACTGATAGATAAGAATGATTATGTCGCGAAATTAGAAGCTATTTTAACAGATCGTACGAAGTTCTCAAAATTCGAGAATGGCAAAGATCGGACAGAGGCCGCCGAGGGTCAGTTGATTACAATTCTCAAAGATCTCCACAAAGGTCTTTTGTCTGACAAAGCTTGAAAGACTGAGACCTAAAGGCACGACGATACCCAGAATGTATGACCTTCCGAAAATTCACAAACGGGGGCTACCCCTGCGTCCAATCTTGGAAAATCCCCTTATCACACCATTGCCAAATGGCTGTTAAAAGCTGAAGCCGCTTGGAAGTTACCTGCAGTAGTCGCCGGTTATTAAGCCCACCTGGGCCCAGACCAAATTGGGCTTAATAAGCGGCTGGGCCTATTAACCGTGGGCTTAATAACCGGCAACTACTGTATTTCCTAAAATCCCGAAAGATAGATTTGAGTTTGTCGACGCTATCAAGGATATGAAAGTTGGTGGAATTGAGATGCTCTCATTGGATGTTTCATCACTTATTACCAACAGACCCATGGTAGAAACCAAAAACTATCCCTATAATGTTATTTGGGACACGGACTACGAGATAGGTTTGCCCATGAAAATCCTTAGGGAACTATTTATACGATGCACACAAACTGTGCAACTTCTCTGCAATGGCCGATTCTGCAGACAGATAGGCGGTGTGACGATGGGTTTGCCACTTGGCCCGTTTCTCGCAAATATCTTTATGGGCAAGATCGAGAAGGCGAGTCCAAGAGGCACCATCAATGACCTCGCAATTTAGGGTTGATATGTGGATGGGCATCTTCTGTATTACTGACCATAACACTGACATCGACGCTATGGTCAGGAAGTTTAACAGCGCACATCCATCGCTCAAGTTTTCTGCAGAGGCTGAGGTAGATAATGAAATTGCGTTCCTTGACCTCCTTATACGAAAAAAGGATGTATCTATCCTGCGTAGGGTATTTCAAAAAAAACCTGCATCAACTCTCACAGCTTTGTTCGCCTCAATATAAAACGAAATCTAGTCCAAGGATTGGCTACTAAAATGCGACAGATGTGCTATCCTGAAACTATCGAAGCAGAACTCTAGCAGCAGCAGATCACGTTTCTTGAAAATTGATACCCAGAAAGGTTTGTCCTCAAGAATATTGGCGAACATACCAAAAAGCCTGCTACCTTAACCGCATAAACGAACGACGTTCACAAGACTGCCTTTCTTAGGCGATGCAACAAGCGAACTGATAAGACGACGTCTGAAGACTGCGATCACTAGCGCCTTTCCCCACGGCGAACTCGCGTGTTCTTCACAAGTTCTCCCCTCTTACGCTTAGGAGGTAAGGACCAACTCTCGTCGAAGGTTACATCCATGTGCATTTTCCCTTTCACTTGCTCCTGTGGTGCAGGATACATTGGCCGAACAACGAGGCGCCTGGAAAAGAGGGTACGCGAACACATACTGGTCTGGTTAAGTAAAGGTGAAACTACAGGGTGCCCCACGAAAAACCCCTAAATTTATGATAATGTTTATAC